CCCGGCTGCGGCGGCGGCCGGGCGCCCGCGGGGAGCCCTCGGGCGAGGCGCCGCCGCGGAGCCAAGAGGAGAAGTTCCTGGAGGAGAACATCCTCCTCCTGCGCAGGCAGCTGGTGAGCCGCGGGGACCCCGCGGGGGGACGAGGCCGGGGAGGGTCCCAGCGCCGGGGGGCTCCGCCGCTCTCACCCCGGGACGCGCCGTCGGCGGTCCCGCTTGGCCGGGAAAAGGGGAGAAGAGGAGGAAAAGGGAGAGGAGGAGGAAAAGGGAGAGGAGGAGGAGAAGAAGGCCACCCTGCCGTTATCTCCGCGCCGTCCCGTCCCAACTCCCGCTTCCATTCAAGGCAAAGAGCCCCGCTCCCCTTGCCTTGAATGGAAGTGCGGAGCGAGCTGCCGCCTGGTCCGCCCGGCACCGGGGCCCTTAAATCAAGGGATGCTTTTTTGGACCGCGCGCTCTGGGTGGGTGGGGAAGAGGCGGCGGGCGGCGGCAGCCCCGGCCCGGCGCTCCCGGGGATCCGCGCCCGGCGCCTTTGTGCCTGGCTCCGCGCTCGCCTTCTCCCAGCGACAAGTTGCACCGTGTGATTTATTATTCATTTTTTTTTCTCTATTTTGCTTGTTAGCCTCTCGGCTCGGTTAATATAAGGGTTATTTCTTCTCATAAAGGATAAAAAAATGAACGATCTCTCTGGCTCGTAAAGGCTCGGCTGCCAAACAGCCGTAGAAAAGTACCGGGAATTATTGCTCCGAGATCAGGATTTGTGGTAGCACTTTAATCTGTGCACTTGACATTGCAGATCTGAACCAGATGCAGCAGCGCTCGCTGGGGGAGGGGAGGGGGGGACACGGCACTGGTGGCAGTAGGTGGCGCAGTGAGTTACCGCTTGAACCCGTCACCTCCGGCAGCCGGGCCGCGGTCCAGATCCCGCTTCCATCGGAAAGGTGGGAGAAGACTTGGATTGCCCCTCTGGTGCTCCAAGGACCGCGTGATGCCAGCGCATCTCTTTTTCGACGGCCTCCCTAAATACTCCTGGCGATCACGTCCCCTTCGCCCGAGGACCGGCTCATCCCAAGGGAGACATTGTCCTTGGTTTAATGGGCTTCGTGCTAGTCCGCTTATTGAGCATCAAAACTCTTTGCAATGAAAGCAGCAGAGCACCGTTGGGTACTGATCAAACGAAGCACTTAAGAAAAAGAATAAACCTTCCCCCTGCTCTCCCGAAAGCCAGAACAATTGCAAAGTGTATCAAGCTGGTGACGGATAAGCAAAATTATAATACACAGAGGGAAACTGATTGCATTGGCCGTGGGTTAATGAGCATCTTACAAAATCATTTCTTATTGCTTGTTTTGTACCATCAAATTACCTTCATAAATAGCTTTAAAATCCATCTCGCAGCAATTTAATACGATTATAATGGGAGAAGAGGAAGAATTATTCTTCCTTCCTGCTGCAATTGTAAAACTAATGAAGGGACTCTGATCCCAGCTCTGGGAATCTTCCTCTCTACATGGTGGAATATAAGCTTATAATGAGCCACGGAGCGAGGCGGTTCCCGCACTGCAGACCCTTCTTGGCCGAGCTGCTTCAGCCTGTTGTGGGAACAGATGTGATCTTGGCCAACGTCAACGTGGCGGTGAAAGTCCCGTATTGCACGGGTGAAACTGTCCTTTCACTGGGCTAGCCCATGTCACGCGAGCACGTCTGGTTTTAAAGTGGGCCATGCAAAAGACCCCATGGTTGGGACAGCCGTGTTCCTGCAAGGAGTGCTTTCCCAGCCATTGGTCTTCCTAAAATGTGGGGAATGCTCCTAGTGTCCAACTGGCTGGAAGAGGTTGGAATGAAGCACTCACATAGTTCTTCAGATAAATATTTGTCCAGAGTGTCATTTTAGATTCCCCCCCACCTTTTTTTTTTTCTTTTTTAAGAACATTGACAAGGTGTTTATAGGATGCTGAGATGGAGAAAGCCTTTGGAGCCCCTTCGCCCCTGCTCCACCACCGACAGAGCTGATGTTGTTTGTCCTGTTGTTTTCTAGAACTGCTTGAGGAGGAGGGATGCTGGGCTGTTGAATCAGTTACAAGAGCTAGATAAGCAAATAAGTGACCTCCGGCTGGACGTGGAAAAAACGACGGATGAGCACCTTGAGACAGACAGCCGTCCAAGTTCAGGTAAGGCCACCCTTCGGCAAAAAGGGGCCTCCCTTGGTAGCTGGAATCAACCTCCCCAAAGTTTTCAGTACTGGAACAGTAAATGTCTATAGCATGTTCACACTCTGATAATTAGTGCCAACTAGGCGAGTTCAGCTACCACTGGAAAGGTTACTGTCTTTAGAGAATATATTCAGAAGAGTATTTCAAGCCTAATTAGATTTTTAGTGTTTTTTCCAAGGCCACCCACAACCTCAGTCGAAAAGTTCCAATTCTCCTGCATGTTAAGAAGGAGGTTGCAATTAAAGGAAGCACCAACAGTGGGAGAGAGATTTCACAGTTGATCTTACAGCCAGAAGGGAACAGTGAATCAAATAATCTGATGCCCCATATTTTGAATTTCATTCCATTCCAACTGTGGTGAATGCAATAGTTTATATTTAGCTGTGAGGAACCTTCCTGAGAGGCATCTAGACTTGTCCTGAAGACACGGAAAAGAGGAGACTCTGCCAACTAATCACTTACACTGTTAAAAATATTGCTTATTTCTGATTTGAATTTGACTTGTTCCAGCACTGATTTTGTATGCTTTTCTCCTATAGACTAAAGTCTTTTTTAGTACTCTCTGTTTTCTCCTTTTGGAGTCGCTATTTAGTGTAATACCCAACTTTTTTGATGAGCTAAACAGGTCAAGTTCATTAAGTCATTCATTTTAAGGCATTTTTCCCAGCTTTTAAATGGCTTTATGGCCTCCTTCCAATTCTTAGCTTTGCTTTAGGTGTGCTGGATTCCAGAACTAGACATCGTTCCAATATCTGCAGTAACAGTGCCATATAAACTGGTGAAGTCATTTCCCTACTGCTACTCATTAGTCCCTTTCTACATCCAAGAATCTCATTAGCTTTTTTTTTTTTTTCTCCTCCATATCATTAAACTTGATTGAACTGCTTTTCCATGTTGTCTAAGTCAGGAGTATTGCCCTTTGGGATGCATCTCCATTTTCTAGATATGCCCTGAATTCCTTTCTTCTACATGTATAATTTCAATTTTGACTTTGCTCTGCCACATTTTGCTTGTGTATAACCAATCTTCCAGGAAATTTAAATTTTCTATATCTGTTCATTCTTTACCATTCTCCTTTTTTTGCATTATCCACAAATATCATACTTACCTCCAGAACTTTGATGAAAATAGTGGATAGTATTTGGCCTAACATTTGGAAAATATTTTTGTAGTCAAGTAATAGCAGGAGAGTCTTTGTTGGAAAGTATAGTACAACATTACATGAGTGGGCTGGCAAGTGCAGTATGGATCCATCTCGCTAAAATCTGACAAACAACTCCCGACCCCTGTGAAAGTTAAACAAAAAAAAATTAAGATTTCATATGTTAACTACAGTGCTCCTCTTTTAAATGCCTTATTTTTAAACTGGATTCTTCACAGTAGTAAGGATATTACCAAATTGTGCACTATTTTTTGGATGACTGAATGAAATCCCCTACCTGATTGCAGTATAATAAGCCAATATAAACATCAACGTGACTGCGTTGCTAGGGGCACAAATTATAACGTTGTATAGACAGAACTAACATAAGTACAAATTCTTATTTTTATAGGGTTTTATGAGCTGAGTGATGGAGCTTCTGGATCGCTCTCCAATTCGTCTAACTCAGTCTTCAGTGAGTGTTTATCCAGTTGCCATTCTAGCACTTGCTTTTGCAGCCCTTTGGAGGCAACACTGACTATCTCAGATGGACGCCCTAAATCTGCAGGTATAGTAAAAGCAGGTCGAATACGTCATACTCCAGGAGGTGGCTTTGGAAATACTGCCTCAAGGAGTACCTGGGTTGGATTAACCCTTCCTCCTTTCACTGGGTGTGCTGTGCTCTGAAAAGAATCCTGTGCCTATCATGCACATATGTCGTGGGGCAGGACCATTTCTCTTCCACCCCTCCAGCCCTACATGCGAATACGTCGCTCTAAACACACGAACGGAACACGTGAAAATATCACAGCTGCTCTACCCAGCAGAGGGCAGTGGTACATGCACACATAAACACATTAGTTGGCTAATTTCTCATAGTTTCCTTCAGAAATCGTTTTTTTATTATTAAGTAGGAACAAGGAAAGTTACTTATTACATAGCAACACCTATGTAATGTAGATGAGACTTGGTCCTCATTAACGTGATTGAGTAAGGTGCTAGCCACACATTTTATGTGACAGGGTGCCTATGAGTCTGTTTGCAGCAGCCCTTTTAGCATTTCTCGTGGTCCTCAACATACAGGTGACTATGCTGAGGTGTGCTCTGCTTTTATAGATTTAGACAAATAGCCATCATAGACAAAGAAAAAGCTTTTCCTCTCTTTGGCAAAGAGCCACTGAAATTTCCTTGACACTAGGCCCAAGATGCAAGTATGATTGTTAAATAGGAAGACCTCCTCTGTCTGTTGTCCTGAAAGGAGATGCAAACAGGACTGTTGATCAATCATTATTGGTTGAAGTTGCCATCATACTGAGTCAAAAGCCTTGGTTCATTCTGGGATGTGGAGAATACTCCTAACCATAATATCTCCAATTTCCATTCTGCTCTTCAAGGTTAACTTATAGTGAATTTTTGTGACTCAAGAACAAAATAATTCTTCTAACCTAGAAGTGGGAAAATACAGCCTTGGATGCATTCATTCTGAGATGCTGAGAACTCCTCTAATTTATCAGAGCAGCTTGAGGTAATTCAGCATTCCCTATTGTACGGTATTTATGATCTGCACAAACCATACCTAAAACAAAAACATGCACAAGGATTTCCAGCAGATTGTATTGTTTTCTTTTTCTGTATGCATCGTGAAAATAAAAACCCCTATTAAACATAGTAGCCCACTTTTAGATGAATTTCACAAACCATCATGTTTTTGGCAGCACTTCCTAACTGTGACATAGAATTTAGGAAACGCAGGGGAACTGTCAAGTTATCTGAAGGAAGTTCCTCTTCCTGTTCTTCCTCTCCTCAAAAGCCTGTTCTTCCTTTCCTGTCCTCCCAGCAGCACCATCACAATCAGCTGCTTTCATCAAAGTCTGTAGCACCTCTTTGAAACAGCTCTGTTAAGTGACAAGCACTGAATGTTCAAGTTTGTGTACCCTGGAGGAAGCTCTTGGGCCAAGCATAGAACACAGGACTGCAAGTGGTCCAGAGGATCATTTAGATTGCTCCCCTATCCAAAGCAAGATCAATTTGATCTTAGAGAAATAATAATCTAAGTTGCATGGATTGAAGCCCTGCTCCTAAGGTTTCTTGTTTCCTAGTAAATGTTGTAGCCTTTAAATCTGACTCATGCATCTCAAAAACCACTGGATTTCTCTTACAGAACTGTCTTTGCAGAGCCAGAGCTAGGATGTCAACTCTATTGACCTGCACTCCTTGTACTTGTATGGACCTCAATGTCTTATAGAGGTGCTTGTGTAACCATGAGAGACCATGATAGATCTGTGAGTGGCTTGGGTGTAAAACAGGAAGCTCTTTACAATCTAGGCACAGTTTTAGAATAAATATAAATGCTCTCCTCTGGGCTGTGATTTTTATCTTTTCACCTATGTAGTTATGCTGGGACAAATCCTGCACAGATAGACTCTAAAAGAATAGTGGTGCATTTATCACTTGAACTGTGTCCCTAGATTCAAGGTTTCTACTGCTCAAGTAGCACTACTGTAGTTAACCCAGTATGCTGTATGTGTGAACGAGACCAGAGTCTTTGACAACATGTGAAAAACATAACAGGATTGTCATCAGGAGGATCTCTAAACTCTTCTAAAATGCCTTTCAGATCTCATAGGCTGGATGGATTATAATAAGGAAGGCCAACATGAGGACCAGACTGCAGGCTCTGTCTGTTGCTCTTTGTCCACACCGCACTCAAATTCCCTCGATGTCGTTGCAGATGTACATCCAAAATACCAGTGTGATCTGGTGTCTAAAAACGGGAACGACGTCTACCGGTACCCCAGCCCACTCCATGCGGTAGCTGTGCAGAGCCCCATGTTTCTTCTCCCGGTGACTGAAAACCCTCAGCGAGAAGAGGAGAGACTTGGCTGTGATATTAGCGACGTTTGTGTTGGGTCGGAATCGGACTCAGGAAAAGCAGCCAATACCTTTCTCCCACAGAGCTCCTGGCCCGCGTCGGGCCCTTCCGCCAGCAAGAGGATAGACGGTTACATCTTAAGCCTGGTTCAGAAAAAGACTCATTCAGTAAGGACTAATAAACCAAGGACGAGTCTCAACGCTGACCCCACCAAAGGGATTCTGAGACATGGAAGCATGTGTGTCAGGCAGCCCACCGCGGTGGTTTCGCACACCAACGTTGTGAACCTGAAGAATTCGAAGCAAGTGTGCTTGCATTCCGGTGGGACAACCGCTGCGGACAATGCGGTGTTCTCCCCGGCAAAGCAGAGGCCGAAGGAATCAAGTGGCGAGCAGCTGGAGAGTAGGAAGATGCCTTTGCCGGCAGCTTTCCCACCCAGCGCAGGGAACGAACTTCCAAGCAAGCGGGGCGTCAAGCCAGTGCCTCCAGAGCTAAGTCAGAACATGGTAGCTCCAGCGGGGGACATCCCCAAGGAAAACAGCCAGCTCTTCACCACGGCTCCCAAAGAGAGCCCAGGCAAGACAGTGGTGTTGCAGTCGACTCCACATCTTCTCCTCCCGTTGAGGAGAGGCCTTCCCTGGATTTCAAAAGTGAGGGCTCTTCCTCACAGAGCCTGGATGATGGGTTACTTGTGAACGCCCAATACATACCGGCCCAGCAGCAAAGCATTAAGCTCCACAAAGGCACCAAAAACGTCAAAATTTTGAAAAGTTCCACCTTGAAACACAGGCCCCATCTCGTCAACGGGCTGGAAAATGCCTCTCAGACCTTGAGGGAGAAAAACAAGCCAGTCAGCAAGAAATGTCGCTTTCCTGAGGAATTGGATACAAATAAGAAACTGAAAAAGCCCTCTTCAAGGGGGAAGAGAGGCAGTGGGTTGCCAGCAGAGTCCAGCCTCCAAAGTAGGCCGTCTGGCCTACATAAATCCGTAATCCGGTCCCATGGACATGGCCGAGAGGTCGTGGTGGCCAAACCTAAACACAAGCGGGCCGACTATCGCCGGTGGAAGTCGTCGGCAGAGATCTCCTACGAGGAGGCCCTGCGGAGGGCGAGGAGGAACCGCAGAGAAGGCGTTGGAGTCTACCCACAAGTCCCCCTGCCTTACGTGAGCCCGTACGCCTACGTAGCAAGTGACTCGGAGTACTCGGCCGAGTGCGAGTCCTTGTTCCACTCCACCGTGGTGGACACGAGCGAGGACGAGCAGAGCAATTACACCACGAACTGCTTTGGAGACAGCGAGTCTAGCCTGAGCGAGGTGGAATTCGTAGGGGAGAGCACTACCACCAGCGACTCGGATGAGAGCGGTGGTCTCATTTGGTCTCAGTTTGTCCAGACTCTCCCCATTCAAACGGTCACGGCTCCAGAGCTGCATGAAAATGCAGCAAAGGCCTTTGTCAAAATCAAAGCCTCCCATAACCTCAAGAAGAAAATCCTTCGCTTTCGGTCGGGCTCTCTGAAGCTGATGACAACGGTCTAGTGAAGTGACTTGGTGGAATATAGCTGTTTTCTGCTTTTGGAAGCAAGGTGCTTTTGTGTACATATTTTCACAAATTGTTTTTTATATATCTATACAAATATTTAAAACTTAAGGTAAATTATGTCACTTGTCTTCTGAACTTGGGTGGATACTAGTGCCTTTTAAGTGAAAATAAAAGACGATTATACTCGTTTTAAAAAAATAACACTGCCGTTTCAGTGGTGAACAGCCTCCAGTGCATAGTATCAGAGGGCTTTGAAAAAAAAGTTAATGTTGCCAAGAATTAATATTCCTAGATTTTCAGTGCTGGGTCTTTTGCAGGATATCAACAGTGTAAGGTCATAGGTTTTTAGGGAAAAAGAGGGAGGGAGTGTGGGTGGTCTTAATGTTTTTGCTTGTCCCTTTCTGCTGCTCCTGCTGCCACATCTTGAATTTGTTCCTCCAGACAGTCTGGCCTGCTTTTTCCTTTTCTGATTCTCTTCTTGAAACTTGTCCTCGTCCACCCTCAACCTTCTCCCACAAGGAAAAGTCTCCTGTTCAATCTGTCTCTAAGGTTAAACTGCCTTCTCTGGAGTGCACTCTGCTCCTGTTTCCTGGGAGTCCCAGTGTGGACTGTGGTGTTGATCAGAAAAAAACTGTTGGAGCAGCTGACCAAGGCTTAGTAACTTCAGTATATTGTGTAAAACTGCCTTTTTTTAAAAAAAAAAATGCATGTCATGTGCATGAGTATCAGTAGTTTTAATATTCCTGTTGATGTCCAATTTACTGTACATCATCAATGGCTGTTTTTATATATATATATATCATTGTGTAAATTAATATAACACATCATATGCTGTAATAAACAGTCTGTTTTAATAGTTTTTAAAAGTTTGTTGCATTGGTGCAGACCCAGTCGATGGTTTTATATCAGTGTTGTCACCACTTAGATATCTCTTTAATGTGGCCTGTTAACATTTCCATGGAATTTAGTCATGCAGGAAATGGAGCAAGTCTAAAATGTTGCTGTGGCTTGTGCTTCGAGGGAGCTGGATAGTCATGGCTCCTCTTTTTTTTCTAGTAACTTGCATTTTTTAATGGGCAGGATGGGATTTGGGAGCTGAGAGACATCTTCAGGTTGTTGTGTATGGGCAGCTCGTGTTTCGGAGCAGATGGAAATGTAATTAATCCTGCTTGCAAGGAGGGTCCTTGCAAACTTCGGTTGGGACAACTGAAGGGCAGATGGCAGGTTTCTGTAGCCAAACAGATCTGTGTAATGCAGCAGGTGTTCCCCGAAACAACCAGTAAATGAATCCCCCAAAGCGGTATAGCCTGGGAGCTGGGCTGGGTAGAGCAGAGTGTAGACCTGCTCTCCGTGATGCCCACTTCAGGTATGGTGGCTGGCAGGGTAGCTCTGGCATCCATGAGGAAGTGTTGGTCTTCTGCTCAACTCCGTCTTGCAGGTCTCTGGGTGCTCCTTGACCCTGCCAGTATTTGTCGATGTAGTGGAGGAGGAGCAGAAAGGGTGCTTGGTTCGTCCTGGGTTGTAGCTAGTTGGCTGCTGTTCTTCCGTAGCTGCTTTCCTTGCCTTAACTACGTCATCATGATGATGGCTGAAGTTTAACTAACTTCCATCTTTTAATCTGCACATTGCAGTGGATCCCTTCCTATAAAATTTCCCTCCTGTATTTTTTCGCTTTTATAATGGAGGAACATCAGTTTCTGTAAAGATTCATATGATATGATCAGAAGGTTCTGGATCCAGTGACCCAGAAAGTCCTTACAATCCCATCACCCATGACAGAGCCAAAGCTGTAGCTCGCCCTAGCTCTTCTTAACTCTCCCATTGCTTTACTTATGGAAGGCCATGCTTCACTAACATTTTTATATCTATATCTCCCCACTACATACCCATGCACATATATATTTATAAAAATAATTCCTCCAAGAATTACTGGGCATTGGCTGCCGCTATAGAGACGTAGAGAAGAAATGTGTACTGTTAAACAAGCCATTGCTGAGGCTGATTGGGAGCTTAATACATTCCCGTCAATAACTGACGGGTGTTGTATCAAACAAAGGGAACGTCAAGAAGCTTGTCAAAGTGAGAAGCTTCTTTCCAAGAATGTCTCTTAATCATGCCACACGATCTCTCTTAGAACAAGACAAACACGTGCAAATCCCTGTAAATCTCCTCAGAGCTTTAGCAGAATAATAGCAAGGGGTCTGCAGAAGAGCACTTGGTCTCTGTGGCCATGAAGGAATTGCTGCTGGGAGGACAAACTGATGGGGGCTTTGGAATGATGAGTTTTTATTGCAGTGCTGTAGCATATTGCCTCATACCAGCTGAAGGAGGCTGGTTTCCAGAAGTGTGTTGCTGAATAGCTCCTTTTTAGACAATTGAATAAAAGGAAAAAGAGGAAGAAAATAACCATCCCAATATTGCTGCGAGTGTATCAGCTGCAACCACCACATTCTGCAATACTCTCATGGAATAGCTTAATGCCAGATGGGGAAATGCGCTGATGTTATCTCTGTCTTAATTGCATTTGGGTCATTTCAGCTTGGGGAAGGAATTTTCCTTTTCTTACAGGATTTAGGTAAGCATCCAGAATCCTTTAGCTAGGCCCAGGTTTTTCCTTCTCCCTTCCCCCTTTCTTTTTTAAATAAAAGATCTTACAGTGCTGGAAAAGCACTTGGTAGGGTCCCAGTGCACAGTCTCTATTACCTTCTCCAGCTCCGATTTAGGAAGCACAGCTACCTTAGTAATTTTTTTTTCAATGTTAGGTCGAAAAACATCTGTTAATCTTGGAGACCAGTTAAATATTTGGCACTTCTTTAAGCTACCTGGCTTTCCACCTCCAGCGTCTGGAGTCCTTGCCAATGTATTTCTCATAATATTCATGTTTTAATTATCCTCACTGTTTATGGCAGTCTTTGGAAGTCTGGAGCCGTCTTTGGTGCACGGGGGCCTATTTCAAGGTGGAGGCAGATTGTGATGGGAGTTTCGGGGTTATTTTCCCCCTGCTCCATATATAACTGAGCATGGCCAAGTACTGAAGGACACGCGCAACTTGATGAACAAGAGCCGTCCCTTCCAGCTGGATTCCCTGCACGTTGGATTTTATAGTGCAGATGTCCATCTCTGAGCACCTTCTCCCCCAGCATGCGAATTGGCATCCCGTAGGCTCGGGGCTGCTCTCCTCTGAGCAGTAACGGGGCTGTCTGCTTTCCAGCGGGGTTTTTTTTGGGTCTGTCTCTTGCTTGGTGACCCCGGTCACCAGCTGCAGGCCGAGCTGTGTCTGCTGTGCGTGGGGTCAGACGGAGGCCCTGGCGTCGTGCCCAGGCGTCCCGACCACGCAAGGCCCCTCTCGCGGACCTCACACTTGTCATAAGAAATGCGACGTGTCCGTGGCACAAGGACGTGGGGACAGCTGGGGCGGAAGGAAGCTGGCAACAGAGAGCCCCAGAAATGGAGTGGTCTGATCCCAATTCATCTGTATTTCCAGGAGGGGCCTCGTCCTGGGGCTTCGGAGGGAATCTGTCCATCTTTCTACTTTTGGCCCAGGGTTCATCCTGGACAAGGACTCACAAAGATTCTCCAGAACAGAGGCCTATGCATTTGCACATCCCAAATCTATTTGTTTGCTGACTCTGAGAAAGGTCCAGAGCTCCTCCGGTGGCAGCCTGTAAAGCAGTCCCTGGGGTCCCTCATCCCTTTTTTCCAGGAAGGACAGCAAAGGTTTTTATTAGCTGTGATCGTCCACCCAGTAGACAACTCTTTGCACCAGCGATGGCTTCCCTCTAAAACGTGATTTTTTTTTTTTACACAGAAGGGAATGAGGACACTAACATTTTGAAGAATCAGAAACAGGTAAGGATGTTTTAAATAGCTGACTTCAACATCCAGTAAATACTTTTGGAGCAACTAACCATAATATACACAACTGAGCTGCTAGTATATATATGTACATATATATATATACATATACATACATATATATACAAGGAACCATTCTCAACTCCTTGATCTATAGAGCAAAATGCATTTTCCAGTTCCCGTGCAATACACAGAAGGAACACCAAGACTGCAAACCAATAGAAACAATTTGCAAAGCCCAGGTCTAGCTTCAAGTCTACTTTTTCCCTGAATTTGTCTCAACTGTATTGAGACCCCTTGTATAGCTTGATTTTTTTAAGACAAAATTTTATGGATTAAGAACTGCAGTGAAAAACAGTGTTGTGAGGTTTAATGATCCCCAAATGTTAGAATGAGGGGAAACAAATGGAAACAAATAGATCAGTTTAAAAGGGATAATAGAAAATATTTATTTTTTAAAGCAAGCGGTGAACTTTTGGATTTGGCTGTTACAGGATGTGGTGGGGAAGATACCATATCAACAGGTACGAAGAAGTTAGACAAATTCATAGTTTACAAGTATTCTAGTGAACAGGTTGGGATGATGTGTGCTCTAGCATCCCATGACTGTGGATAGTCATGATAGCCTAGCCATGATAGTGGCCAGGCTTATGTGCTTGCCCCCAGAAATGGTCTTTTCTGCCACTGTTGAAGCCCCATTAGAGATGTGCTACTGCACTGACCTTGTAGACCTTCTCATGCATTGCTGTGATCTTGGATATTCCTGTGATCTTAGGGTAGCTAATGTGAAGCTACACATTTTAAGTGTAGCTTCAGGTGAAACCTTGATGATCTCTAGCTTGAAGAAAGAGAATGACAGAGCAGTGGGCATCTAGTGCCTACTGTGTAGGGGCTTAAAGGAGTTTTATCTCGTGACTGTGTCTACATTGATGCTGTCCTTTGGAGCAGTGGTGCAGTTTGGAAGTGAGTCCTCATTGGACTGCAGAGCCATTTTGGTGTGAGCAAACTAGACGTCTGTAGGGACGTTAACCCAGATGTGCTGTTCCAAGGCCACAGCAAATGTGCACCTACCTGGACTGGGAACATAAGAGCCTGAACCAGCCCAACCTGAATGTGCAGGAGACATTTGCTGCAAGTGACATTGGGGACCAGACTAAACCTAGACTGAAGTAAGTACTTGAACTGAGTATATTGTACTTGTAGGAACCTCAGTTTGGATCAGTTTCTGTCAATCCACATAACTTGCTAATGTAAACAGAGCCTCTAATTTAATGGCCTTTCTTTTCATGCTCTTTTCCTTTAAGATTAATAAAATATTACCATTAATAGTTTGATTTCTCTCAGCCAAGACCTGAAAATCTGGCTTTTTTTCCTTTTTTTTAAAGAAGTTGAAGTTGAAAGTCTCTGGAATGACAGTAATGTTCATGACAGTAATGAAGGAAAATCTGCATGATTTGGAGTCAGATCTCATGATGCAGTAGTTTTGCAAACAAATAAGTGTTTCTCCCCCAGAAAGAGGTTCAAATCTTGTGTTGTCTAGGACAGGAGCCTGGATATTAGGAATGATCTGTACTCACTGCGTTGTAACAGATATGCTCCCTGGATCACTATGCACCGTGAGAGTGCAGCATCTTCAGAAATGGGATTTTCTGGAGAAGGTAGGAGGGAAAGCACGAGGTATGGAGATGAGAAGGAACTAATCAATCTTAATCTTGGAATTACTTATGCAGGAAGTGCTTAAAACATGTGATAAGGGCATTCTGACTCAGCAAAGCATTTCAGCACATGCTTTGGATGCTTTGTGGTTGGGGGTGAGTTAAGCACATGCAAGGAAG